TTAGTCCGCTGTTCTGTATGCACTTTATCTACATCAGAGTCCTTATTCAAATAAACCCCTCAAGATGGCAGCGAAAAGAAAGAAAGAAGCTCAACATGATAAAGAGCAGAACCAACACTCGAGAGAAGGAATAAAAATTAAACGAAAAAAAAAACGCATCGAAAACACGAACCTGGAACGGACTGGAAAGAGAGGTGTTTATTCCAGACGGCGGCCAGTTTTTCCAAATTCTGATGTAACGTCCCGTATCGGCGCCAGCAGCCACTGAGGTAAACCCGGTGTCATTCAACAGAACAGAAGAGGAACCATCGGCCTGAAATGAATGTGAACGTATATGTAAGTATCACTCAAATCGCCAGGTAGTTCAAGATCGTCACTTTGAAAAGGGTTGAGGGAAGTTGCAGAAATCTTACGATTCTTCTACTATACGCATATTGTAAACCATTCAATAATGTGAAAATTAAGAGTATACTTTCACTAGGAAGGGAAAACCCAGCAAAAACATAACGTTTTTAACGATACCATATCGTTATTATAACGTTTTTTTTTTTTTTTTTTTTTTTTTTTTGGGGGGGGTATGTAATCGTTATGGTAACGTTATAAAAAAACTTTCAGTGTCTGCTGGGAAAGACGTGAACACTCTCAGCTAACCACTAATTAACTTACCATTAATGCATAAACTGTCAAATTTATATGATTACGGATGCCATGCATGTAGTAGTAAAACTGAATGCAGTAATGTTCGGCATCTCTACCGATCCACGGAGTGACCGCTTTGCCGGAAACAATTCTCCCTGCATTGGCGAGATGATCGTCTTCCCTGAGATACATCAAATGCCCTGAAAATACAGCACTTACCAGATTTTATAAAGCTAATTCAGGATTAAAATATCTATAAGAATAAGTTGTTCATATTTTATTTACTTGTAGCTGAAATAATGTAATTAGCAATAAATTATTCTGAAGTGAATTTCCTTTAGACAATGGAAATATTTAAACTCTAAGGACCAATGACATTGTATTTTGATTTCAGTGGTATCAAATAATATTTCAAAAAGTAGAGTCAAATCTGGATTGCTTATTTCTGTTAAGACCCTCCTCTACTGAGCATTTTCGTAATTTAGCAATTAGGCCTACATTTAATTTGTCGAGTTACAGACGGAGCGCTGTCAGAGATTTATCTAACAAGGGGAGACTGGGATTCAACGAACTGCTGCCACAACAGTTTCAAAGGACGGGGTCTTAAACACTTTCACACGACATTTGCTATCCGCCCTTTTTTAAAGGAGAATTGCATGCGTCCTCATGAACTTAAATCGTTTAACGTGTTGATCATCTGGGGTTGTGCACCAAATCTCACATGGTTTTCCCGATCCTTTCTTCTTCCTGTCATGGCCAGGACCCTTTAAAAAGCACCCGTTTAATTTCAGCGCAGCATGTACTTGATTGCAAACCCCTGTAACCGTGTAATTCCCGTCTATAATCAGAGATAAATTTAATCTTTGCGGTATTTCCGGCGAAATCTAACTATCTTAGCTGTGCCCGCACTTAAATTACATAATTTTTGTTTTATTACTAACTTGATAACTTTTAACCTTTGAGGCTTAAAATAGTAAAGTTCTAAACGAACCACGGTATTTAGGCATATAAACGTCTTATAGATCTAACGCTAAACATCTCATAGATCTAACGCTAAACATCTCATAGATCTAACGAATTACTGACCGACAGAACTGTAATTTTAAGTTTTTTATGGACTTTATTGGGAATAGATATTTTGAAAATATGGCATTAAAAATTTTAGGCACATACAAACTTTACCAAGAGAACAATTCATGGGTGGGTAAATTACGTCTCAGAACAGTGTCAAGGTTGCCAAAAAGAGCGTCTACCTATGCTGGTAAGAGACAAAACGTGTTTTCTTAAATTTTCCCGAAACCTGTTTTACACTTACCGTCTCTGGATTGGGTTGTGACGTCGAACTGTGGATAGGGGCAACAAGCAGCCCGGCGAGCCACGAACCATGTATCATGCGTATCTTCGGTGATCCATGTAAAACCGCAGTCATTTTCCTCAAAGTCACAATGAAAACCTATAAAACCGGTGGCAATAATATAACAAGTCGAAGGTCCCAACCTTATCTGAATCTGCGTCAAAAATGGTCTCGGTTTGCAAAATGTATGACTACTGAGAGGCAGATTAAGTCTGCAACTCATAGATTTGCTTGGCTACGCCAATTTACAACTGTATTTTAGTCTCATTTCACTTAAACCCCCTTTACACGGCGTCCTTTCTGCGTCTTTTGTGCGACAATGAAACTGGTACAATGTACCTGATGTAAGATCGCCAAGTGACATGGATTCATCTGTATATAAGAACTGTTCATGAAAAAGAGCGGAAACAAGTTAACAATTAAGTTTTAAGAAAAATGTCCTAAAAACACTAAAGTCGATGTCATATTCAGCAAGATAAATTTCTGTTTTGGAAACGAATGTGAATTTTGTTATTTTAATAAAAATATGTTTACAACACGCGTTAAAAAAGAGGTATTCTTCTTGTTTTGAAAATGCAAGGAAAATATTTTTCTGAAAAGTGTCTGTACAATTCAAATGTAAGACAAAAAAAATTTCACAATTGGTGGAACGAACTTTGAAATACATTTTAGTGTACTGGTACAGTAGACAACTATTACAAACGCTGTAAAATTACAGCCTTCGGCTCAAATTATTTTTACCTTTTTATTTTTCCTATAAATATTTCATCATCTTTTGTATGTTTGGGTATTTTTGTGATTTTCTTGAAGAAATGTTAAATGTTCATGTATATATGGTTCGTTTTTTTGGTAATACATGATGTAACTTCAAACAAATTTCCAGTTATCTGGTACATTGAAAACCTACCTTTCTTGTTTTTTGATCAAGCCTATAAATTCAGAGTTAATTGTCGAAACATGCATAATCTTAGAAACGGTTACTTGTTATTGTTTCATTGGTTCCAGCTTTTATGTTGAATAAAATGTACTTCGTTTCATGTAGTCTGCATTTATCAATTTATATTATATTCTAGTACCTTAAATTTAGAAATCCAGTCTATAATTTTTAAAAAATTAAATATAAAAATCTGATTAAAATCATACATCGAGTTTAATTTCTATTGAAATATGAATTGTTAAAAATAAGTTTCAGATAAAAAATAATATTTGACTCACTTTCTAAAGGGTTGTCCAAATCACCTTGGCCGAAGGAACGCCATATCAGACTCAGAGAAATGAATCCTACGACCAAGCTACGGATCATCCACATTCTTGCGCTTCTTCTGGGATCAGTACTTTGGAAACTGCCGTAACTGGCCACACCTTTACTTTTAAATATCGCCGTTAATCAAAACAATTATGCTCGTATCAATTTGCATGTTTTATTAGCGTTGTCCCTAATTCCTCTCTGCCTCAGAAGACACCTGAGTCCTCATGGGGCGCCAGAGGCGGCGTCACTCTTTGGTGAGAACAATGGACACATCGTGTGATTAATGGAACTGAACGGTGTCCCCAGGACAAGAAACCCGTGCACAAAGACAATAGATTCTTTTGATCTTTAGAGGTAGAGGGAACTTAACATTGCTCTTCATGGAAAGCAACCACCGGCAGCACCTTAGGGAGAATTTAGTCAACAAGTAAATTTATTTTTCTCTTTATTTTTAGATGTAAAACAAACCGAAAAGAACATTGCGCAAAGTAATTGACCTAAATATACGTGTTTGCGTGCTAACGCTATTGTTCTCTCGTGAGGATATCACCATCGTCAAAAATTTTCAAGTAAATTAGGGTTCATTTACAAAGATGAAAAAACCAGAGTTCAAATTTTCATATCGTTATTATTACACTGTCAATATTATGGGATATAAGGAACGACACGCGGTTGGTAAACATCTAACATAAAGAGATAATAAGAAAGACATTAAAAAAACAGTATCATTTATTGCATATAAATATTTTATATGCATAGTGTCACTACTGAAGCACCTATGCGTCCCTCATTTGCAGAGGATACAGGAAGCTCGCCAATTGTACTTGCTATCAAGATATTTTTTCCGCTTCCTTGCAGTATCTGTGACTTTCCACTGTCCTTGGAAACTCATGGTGACCTAAACGCACCAAGAACGCAATTTTAATGTATTATAATATTTAGCATTATTATTTTGTGGACGTGGCCGAGAACAAAAGCTGCAGATGTGCCGCCCGAGGTCATGCAGTATCCATTAGCAGATTCGAGAGGTTTTGGTGTCCATGAAGTTCGTGTACCCAGAAGGGCTGCAGTCATTAGCGGAAGGTAGATTTCATCCTCTGGAACAAGGGAACGGCACAGAACGCCCAGGGTGGTATGCACTCTGTCACGTTGACCGCGGTTAGAATATCTAGGTGCCCTGATTGAGGCCACAAATGGTGTCAACAACTCGTGCTTGATAGCTTCTTGCACAGAATGGAGAGTTTGAGGTGAAATAGGAGGTTTCTGGAGATTCGACATATCTTGAAAGAGGTGGAGAGTTATACCTCGCTATGCATGGCAATTATAAAATGGCAGCCGAGGACAACTTTTTTATTTAAGGTTACATCTATTGTGCATATATGGATGAATATCTTTACTCCACATTCACAACCAAAGTTGATCCGGGGACTAACTGATCCGTGGATCAAATATGGTTGACCCACTTGACAGCCTGAAACGTGATCTCCGCAGGGAGTTTATTCAGGTTTCAAGTGGCTCGACCATATTTGATCCACGGATCTGTTAGTTCGCGGATCAGCTTGTTCTGAATGCGGCTTTCTATATAGCCTCGTTTCGCGTGGTTAAGGGTACTGTATCCTTTTATTATCCAGATACCGAAAACGAGGTTTTTCCTGCGTCTTATTATTCAATAATGCATCTATCTTTGTGCTGATTTAAAACAATAAAAAAAACATGTGAAAATATAAAATAAATTATATCACGTAACAAAACATACAATAGTTGTAATATGGCTTTTATTGTTATTATCAGTGTTTGTATTCATTGATGGGCAGCTGAAAGCGATGCCTATATTCACTTCTTGATAAATTATGAGTCTATAGTAACTCCTGACGGCTGCAACCCTGCACAATAGCCCTCACGTCTTTGACGAAGAGTATATTATATTACAAAATATACTGGACAATACATTTAGTATCATATGCCACTTGACATATGACAGAATGTCTCTTTTCATTGCTCTCTATTTCATTGCATGGAACACCATCTTCCCAACCTCAGATAGGCATGCGGTGACTTATCTCAACTTTTAGGAAATAAAAATAAATAATAATAATAAATAAAATAAAAATGAATACATTAATTAATTAAAAAATAAAATAATAATAATAATAAAATAAATAAAAATAATTAACAAACTGCTTTACATGGGAGAGGCTTTACTAAACATTCAAGAAACTGCACAAAAATAAATATTCAGGCTCAAATTTATTAGATGAAAAAAATCTAACTCTAAAGGTTTTCTACAACTACACCCAAAAATTCAAATATTTAGATTTAACTAACCTACAAAACCTGATTAAAAAAAAAAAAAAACTAGCTAAATAAATAAGTAACAATGTTTTTTTTTAATCTCCAGTACTATCTCACTGTTACTCGTCCCATAAAAACCACCGAAAACGACTTCCATCCCCAGAATGCAAGATAAAAAATAAATGGAGAGCACTGTCGAGAAAGACATATTATACTTTATTTATGCTGTAACCATAATTATCATCAGAGAATTTTAATTGCTAGTCATTTTGATTTCTTCTCTGATGACAAACTGACATGCATTTTCTTCACTTCAGGCTCGAAGAGATCCATGCAAATCTGGCCGTTTTCATCAATGAAGTCCGCCACACAATGGGTGGTTTCTAGTGACCGACTCTGCCGGCTTTGTCCGTCGTAATAGCTAATCTGTAGTGTGTAGTCACTCTCGTATCTGGAGTGAAAACAAACAATATGAATCTGAGGAAAAGGAATTAATCTGTGCGTACAATACTTAGGACTATTAGTTACGTACCAAGTTTGTAAAATGTATCAGTTTCTGTTTTTTTTTTTATAAAGAAGAAGTTTATAAACACAGGGTTAAGGTTTAGATATTATGACAAATAGTTATAATGCACAAACTATCAACACAGTCAAACAGCATTTATACATGAACACATGTTCAACTACACGTGTGTGTGCATGCACATGCATGCCTGAGGGAACATTTATATGTATTGAAGAAAGTATGTGCGAGTGTAAAAAAATGGGTGTATAGATGTGAGTATAAGTATGGTAGGTGTTTGTTCATGTGTGTGTGCGAGAGAGAGAGAGAGAAAGAGAGAGAGAGAGAGAGAATTGGTTGTCCATACCTCTTCAGTGTGGAGGACAGCGTCCACTCATTATCGGGGTCCACCCCAGCCTTATCCTTGTCTAAGGCCACCATGAAGATCCCCTTCTCTTTATATGTGGTATACACAGTTAAAACACCCATGAGTAGAAAATATCTGCATTATCTGTTAGGGATTCAATTTCTCTGGATTTTGATGTGGAGCAAAAACAAAAACTTAAATTTGTTTTTTTAATGACATTTTTTTCAGCAGAAATATGAACAAAATTGCACATCAGAATCTCCTTTTTTATTTATTAATTATTATTTTTTTTTTGGAGGGGGGTGGCCCCAGTTTTTTTTTTTTTTTTTGGGGGGGGTGAAGTGTACAATTAATATTATATGTGATAACATTAAGGCAATAAGTTTAGAACGAAAGAATCAAAAAGAAGGCTTTCTGGCAACAACAGGAAGACTTTCAATTGAAAAATGTCCTTTTTTTCCTCTCCTTTTTACTTAATGATTTTTTTTCTATTTTATTTTTGAAAACGTGCCCATAAAGGATACGAACACACACAGACAATGAGCACAGGTTTGGACTGAGGGAATGGATGAAGATAGTCCCATAGCAGGGCAAAGGCTGCAAACGCCACGGCAACGGTACAGATTCCTAGGCGTCCATCCACCAGTCTGTAACTCTCTACATACCCATAGCCATCTGTCAGTACCTATAAGAAATATGGAAAAAATAATTCAGAATTACAAGAAAATTGGATTCTCTCATGTAATCATGATAAGAAAGTAATTTAGTAGCTCTTAAGGAGAATGAGACCCCATTTTCATACCTTGATTGATCTAGCGGATCAACCCAACTCTAAGGGGATCCTTAATAAATTGCATTCAGATTAAACGGGTTAGATGTCTGGCACACCTACTTAAGTTGCTAAACGATAGTTAATTAACAGCTTCAGTAGGCGTCCCAGACATCAGAGCTGCTTAAGCTGAATGTAATTTAGCGATAAACCCCTCGTAGATGGGTCGATCTTGCTAGATCGATCTAGGTATAGGAAAGGGATCTTAAACAGAAAAGCAAATAAATTGTGTGATCTACCCATGAGGCATGTTGTAACAACCCTTCATCAAAGGGTTTTCATCATTACTGACTCATCATGCTTCAAAGGCATAAAACACGTGCAGTCTAGAGAAAAAAAATTCATCCTTTTATCAATTAAGATGAACATTATTTCAATACAGAAGCATGCCACTTGTAGGTAAGACAGAAAAGTTCTATAATACTTAAATGGGGCAATGCCAGTAAGTCAAAATCTGCAAGATGCAGAAGATTGTTATAAAACAATTCTATCAAATAGATGATGATGATGATGACAGCAATCTTATTCAAGAGACCTGACCTAATCGATTACTAGTAATCAAACAAAGACATTAATTAAATACAAATAATCTTTTTATATGACAGGACTTTGAATGACAGTATACCTTCATCAGAATTCCATCTTTTATCTTGAAGTCTATCAGAAAACCATCAAGTATTGCACTTAAGACCAACTCACCTTCTTTGCTGCGTCATCAAGGGCATTTTTGACTGCCGAACCATCCCACTTGTCTATCTTGACTGGCTTTTCATCTGCTGACCACTGCAAATCAAAACAACCTTTGAACGCACGGTTTTGTTACTCAATAAAAATGAACAAAATGTAGCAGTTACTCATCATGATCCCCCTCCCCTCCGCCCCCAAACAAAAATATTTTGATTGCAATACCAGTAAAATGTTGATTCAGAAGTTTGCAAAGTTAGCTGGCTTTGTGTCAAAAGTACATTTTTGTAGTGCCTGAATATATTTCATTAATAAGTAACAGATTACTAAAAGGAAGGTGCTTGACACTGTTAAGAAATTTTATTACCATAATCACTGCATTCAAGATAAAATTTATATACAGTGATACGAGCCTTGAATGATTTCATATTTAAGTAAAAAAAATTATTTCTAAAACAACACCATCACCAAGAGAATAAATGAATAAATAGTCCCCTCGAGCTACCATGATAAAAGGAGTTATGTACTCCCTAAACCTCCCCTGTCCCTTTTTTTTTTTTTGCAAGTTTTGTACATTTGCCGGAGAAGCATAAGGAAACAAATAAAAAAATTACACTTCAAACAAATGCCACATCACCTCTATGTTATGTCATACCACATAAAACAGTCCATCTTTTTTGTTTGAAAATCTGCTTTCCTTTGGCTGCAATTCTTTACTAGTACATTTATTTTATTATAAATTATTCTAAAGCTAAATGCCTCCTCCACCAACCTTTACCCATCCAAATAAAATGTACAAGAACCCCATGCCACACAAATTGTTTGCGGGAATTGTGAAGTATTTGTCATCATATTATTGCACAACTCTTTCCCTGCACCACATGCAATTGATACTAAGCACGCCTCCCCACACATCGTCCCTCGAACGGTCGAAATTGAGCAGAAATTTAATTATTGTGCCCCTGCAGGGACGACATGTGGGGAGGCCTGAAAGAGACGGAGAGACCATTACAAGATTAAGGGTCTTCCTTTCATGTAGTATGCCATAGTTAGGGTGTGAACCAGCTCGCACTTGGATCATCTCATTCTGAATGAACCCTTTCAGATTAACACATGGTACTGAGGAGCTGGATTAATCCAACTCTGCAAGGGATACTCACTAAAGTGTAATCAGTTCAACCAGCTTGTCTGATATGCCTCCTAGAGGGGTTAATAAACTATTGTGTGCTAATTAAGCTGACCCCAGTTGTACTTTAGCGAAAAAATTCCCCGGCAGTGTAAGACAGACCCAGCTAGTATGTGTGAATCTGAATAAGCCCTTTGATCCTGGTGTCTTGAAGGGCCACTGGGCTCAGAAATATTCGACAAAGACTGGGATACATCACACAGAGCACGTGTGGTCAAGCAAGTCCAAACCTAGTCGGGACCAATCTTTTTGGTGACATTACTGAGACATTTTATTCATGATGCCAGATCTTTATTAACAAGCTTTTTTTTTTTTTTTTGTCAACACTGTAAACCATTTTATAACATAAAGGACACACAGTATAGTACCTCTTTTTCCTGAGACTGCTAAAAGAAATCAGCACATGGAAACAAAGAAAATCAATAATAAACTGTATTGTAGTATTCCGAGTTTACACTGGAAATGCACTGGGATCATACAAGATAGCCTAAACCAAGGCTGTTGGCATTGCGTGATACTGTACGAGACTACAAAACATGCAAGACTTCTGCATGAGGTGGGGTTGACTTTTTTGTGGCAGGAGTGAAACTTCTTGGAAATTGATATCCTAATAATTATTAAAATCAAGGCAAATCTACACAGTTGTACAACAGATTGGAAGTTAATAGAGCTTCAAAGAAAAACAACTAGAAGATTGTCTGAGAATAAATTCTGTCTGCTTATATTTATTGTTTCACTGCCTTCAAAGCCTGTCATTATTTCTGACCCAACTCATTAGATTTTACACGTTACAAGATTTGGGCTATCTCCAATGATTCCCTTCATGCTCTATAAAAGATGGAAAGATTACCTACAGGTTAACGTCTAAATGTGTCAATGCACAGATCACAAGAGGAGATCATTAAAATCAACACAAAAGACCATGCCCAATACATATACATGCACGGTTGCCAACTTTTTTTTGTTGCAGTGTGTTATCAAAATAAAATAAAACCTTAAAACAGAATACGAGGTTTTTTTTTTCATATTGTTTGCTTTTGGTAAAGTATTTCTTAGAGTCAAAGTGAATGGTTTTTGATAAATAATTTTCACTGGTTTGTGATCATATTTTTATTATCTGTATCAATGATCAAGACGTATTTCGGTATTTTGCTCCATGTCCCCCCCCCCCCCCAACCACAACACACAGACCATATGGAGCATTGCACACCTGCACAAAATACCTAATGCAAGGCTTACTTGCCATTATGTATACAGATAAATCCAACGAATCATACCACATTGACCCATTCAGCATCTCAGCATCAAATATTAGCAGAGGGGAACCAAAATTACAAACCTGTGAAAGTACTCCTTCCTTGGGTGCCATGTTGCCGGTAGCTTTAGTACACGTAATCTTTAAAGAGTAGACGAAACTTTTGTCGATTTAATCTCAAATTTGAGAAGAAAAATGAATATTTGAAAATATTTAGCAATTAATTTAATTATGAAATTTGAAAACTGTATAGGTATGTTACAATGCATGAAATAAAAGAGTTTTTAAACGTATAAGTGACTGGTTTAAGAGTATATTTCTATTTAGGCGCGCATGCTCATATTGAACATCCGGGTACCGCATTCCTAGGGAAAACAATATTCGAGTATTCAACATCAAGCTAGAGAGGATTGCCGGCCAACATAGGAAAAGTGATCGTAAGAAATATTTTATTTGCATCCTTTTGAATGATTGCCAACACAAAGCATGTCTAAAACAATCTACCAAAAATACCAGATATTTTCCCAAAGGCATTTGATATTCAGTTTTTAATTTTGTTTTGAAATTGCAATGCCATAATTTTCAATTCAAAAGCTTGATTCAGTGAGCTCCAGCTATTTTATTCTGCTATTCTAGTGCCCTTCGGCTTTTGGGCTTAAAATGGAAATATATACAAACCAGTTAAAGGATGAGGAATTCATAAAAGAAACTAAGTTTACTGAAATTGATCGAGTTTAACAGAATGTATTGTGCTAATGAATCTGATATAATTTTACTTTTGTTGCTTGAGAAAGATTCGAAATTCAATATATGATTACAGTTTCAGGTAGCGTAGCTCACGTACTTTAGTCAAGATGAGTGAGCAGCTGAAGTTCATCGTTCAGGAACTGAACAAGGAGCCATTTAACAAGAACTACAACTTAATCAGCTTTGACTCCCTGGCCCCTGAGAGCCTCCTCCAGACACTGAATGATGTATTGGCAGACATTGACCCGAAGGTTAGAGCTCATTTTAAATCCCTTGTTTTATAAGACTATCCATCAAGCTTTCACTTGATTTTGGTGCTGTCAGCTACACTGTGTGTGTGTGTGTGTGTGGGCATGTAATTTATTTTAAGTCATCATGAAAGTGCTATAAAGGTAGTGATCATGAGGATCTTAAAACAGATAATTATATGTATTATAATTTTGGTTTATTCTTAGGGGTTTGATTAATTGATTTTGATATGTTTATATGTGCTGAATATATCCAAGCACTCCTTATTTTGTTACTAGTATTTATTTTTCTTGATAGAGAATTTGCACCTTAAAAAATCAGTAGTTAGATGAATTCAGTTGTAACAACTGATAATTTGAATGAAATATAGAACAGAAAATTGTTGATGTATAATTAACTAAAGCTAAGAGTAAATGAGTCTCTCTTCTTTTCTTAATGTCCTTAATTGCTCTGGTTCCAGAATAAGATTGATATTCGCGAGGAGTCAGCTGACCAGACCACAGTGAGGCTGATGGAGACACTGCGTATCTTGAAGTACAGGCCTCCAACTGATTCTTCTAATGTGTAAGTAATCCTTCCACAAAATCTCTCTCGCCAGAAGAGTGCAAGGCAATAATATCAATAATTTCATGATTGGAAATTTCATTTTGAAGGAGCTCAACATTTGCCAGTTAATGATAATTAATTGTACACTCTACACAAATCATCACCTTATAACAAAGTATATGTTTATCTCTAATTAGTTTTCTGGCATTAAGGTATGAAAGTTAGGGAGAGAAGTCTTGAGTCAGCTGTATCTGTTTTTTCTGTCTAATATATGTCAGCGATTCAGCATAGATTCAAAATTTACAGAACGGGACATTTGTGTGTACATAGATTTCAAATCTATCTCTCTTGTAGCTTTGAGGAATGCATTTCACCAGGATTCGACTCAAGGTTGGGACAGCTGCTGCATATTTTGTATTGTGACCTGTGATGTCATGTTTTGTAATGTGACCAAAATGTGCATACTATTCAGTAATGTTTTCAGCAGAGTAATAAAATCCATGTAAATCTATCTGACAGTGTCTAATAAATTTCATGAGTGCATTTTATCACAATTTTACTACTGGGTTCCCATGCCTAGGTCGATCCATCTGGATTGGTCTTACTCCCTAGGGAGTCTCGCTAAATTGCTATCAACTAACCGGCTTAAATGTCTGTCACGCCTATCGAATCAGCTAGGGTAAAGATAATTACCCCCTAGCAGCTTTACTAGGCGTGACAGACATTTAAGCCAGTTAAGTTAGATTGATCCAAATATCTGTGGGAATGGTCCCTAAGGTTGGCACAGCTGCTGCATATTTTGTAATAGCCATAATGCACTTAAAAAGTAATTAGTTTCCATCAGAGTAAAAAGAAAAATCCATGCAAATCTATCTGTCTATGTCTGGTCACTTTCAGGAGTGCATTTCGCCAGGGTCTTGTCCAGGGGAACAAGCCAGTGGTATACCCCATCCTGGAGTGGCTCTTGCAGAACAAAAGTGACCTGAAGAAGAGAGCTTACCTGGCCAGGTACCTGGTGAAGTTGAGCATCCCACCTGAGTTTATGGATGAACAGATGTCTGAGCTGTATCAACAGGTAATAATGATAATAATTATATTTAACGATCATTGATATATATTTTTTAGCTAATACTTGTAGCTGATACAATAGAAATTGAATGCTGTGGAAAGTTCTAGAAATGAACACATAAATTCTGGATGGGCAGATGTACAGTCAAGAATATGGCAGATTATCCACTCTTTGCATCGACTAGTACCTAGAAAATTTTGCATTTGAAGTAAATACTAGTAGACTTCAAAGCACTGTGGTATATTGTGATATACCCAAGTGTGAAGCATGAGTCGATATCATATACATGTACACTTTGTTGGCATATGTAAGTTCCAGTTTATGTTAAGAGATAAGCCTTGTCAGTTCGTAGATGACCAAATGGCTGATTAGCATCAGTTAACCTGTTCTTTATATTTGCAGTATGAGATGTACATAGAAGAATTCAAGGAGCTGCACAAGCAGATGGAACAGCTGAAGAACAGTGGGTTTAGCACACAGGAGATCAGGAAGGACATTGCTAACATGGAGGAAGAGAAAGAGCAGCTGAACAGGAGGGTGGAGAGATTGAAGAGAAAGGTAAATAAGTTTTTTTTTTTAATTAGGGTATATCATATTACAGAGCACGCAACATAACTGGGGTTATTATTTGTCTCAAGTATATCTTGAATGATGATTTCTTTTTTGTATTAATTGAATGTGTCTTAACTTGAATCTTTGTATCACTCAAACAAAGTTTCTGCTCCTAAAATGTCCTAGAAATGGGGAGTCTGTTATGATTTTTTGTATCATAAAGAAGAGCCCACAGTGGCAGATTTACTGCAATGTCACATCTAACACATTGTCACATCTACCACAGTGTCACATATACCACATTGAGACGTGTTCATTTTTGTCAAAGTTACATCACTGATTATTGTATCTATTATGTTGTTTATATTTTACCCCCCAGGTGGAGTCTCAGCCCAATACAGGCCCAATGCTGGCCATAGCCAGAAACCTGAGGCTGGAGAGGGACAAGGAACAAAAGATTGCCCAGCAGAAACTGGACCAGAAAAATGCTGTGAGTAGTGGCTAGGGTGTAGTAAATATAAGGAAAACATTTTATAGTTGTGATTTTTGTTTTAATCTTATCTTTGAAATTATTACATATAATTAATAATTAAGCATAAATCAGAATTGCTTTTTGTACCTTGACATATATCTGTCCATTGAGTCAGCTTTATATGGGATATTAAGACAGGGAAAGGCCAAGAAATCAACTTTGTTTTAATTCAATATTAATGTTCTCCACAGTTGCTTCACACTCAGCAGAGACACCAGCGTCTCCAGCAGCAGTTAAAGGACTTGCAGCAGGCCAGTATGGGGGCCACACCTGAAGGTTAGTATCGTGTACAGCCAACTTGGGGGTCGTCACTTCATAAACAGTGTTGTTTTTTGGAAAATTATATGAAAAAATTCTATTTTTTTTAAAGATTTCACCAGTTTTTTTCCCCAATATGTAAAAGGTAAAGCTCTCGAGTGTGTTGAGGACTCTGGTATAAAAATGTATATATGTTGAGATCCGATGTCTTTCACAAGTTGTAGTTATACCTTCCTCATGTTCATACAGTGTGAGTTTGAGAGAGATAGAGAGCAATATCTTTAAATGTCAGATAATTGTGAATAAATAGACCAAGCTTATCCAAAACACCTATCTCCCCAGGTCTGCTGGAAAGACTGGAGGAAGAAACCAGGGTCAACGCCTACATGGTCAGAGAAAAGCTGCCCAAAGAAATCGCCATGAAGAGAAAAGTGACCCAAGATCTCCAGAAAGTTGTATTAGAACCAGCCATGGGCCAAGCTGAGCTGGATGAACTGAATGGAAAGGTGAGGCTGACTGCCGGATGTAGGATCGTGAAAAAGTTATCAGGTTAAAGGTTTCCTTTTTGGGATTTTTCCTCTAATCTTCTGTCATTTATGCGAACATGACCTGTCAGACAGGTAGCTTCCCCATGTCTTGACCAGACTGTGTGTGATTTTAGCTAATATAAGTTTCATTGAAATCCTAGATTCGTGACATGAATACAGAGATTAACCAGCTGATAGAGAAGAGAATGAGAAGCAATGACCCCATTGATGACAAACTGGCTCTCTTCAGGCAGCAGGTAAATCCAATAATTAGATGTAGCAAAAGGATATAAAAATTTTAATTTTTTTTTACATGGAATTGGCTGTATCTGCCCCTTAATGGGTGCTCACAAGGAATCATAAAAGATCAATTAAAACAAGCATCAGTGAGGAATGCAAACATCATCATGATGTAGAAAACAAACAAAAAAAATGAGGTTCATAATGGACATTGTCACCTATGTATTTTATTTTCTGCTTGTCTTAACAGGCAGCCATCATTACCCGGAAGAAAGAGGTTGCTGCGGAAAACCTGAGAGATGCCAGAGACGAGTTGGCCCGCACTGAACAGGAATTGAGGGAGAAACGAGATATTCTGAAAGAACATGATGGAGAAGAGGTGTTGAAAGGAGATGAGGTTAGCATTTTATTCTCCTGCCTTTGGAAAATCTCAGAAACAGGACTTCAGTCTTCGCTTTTAGGTGTTCATGTCATTGGCGCTATCATTTTCAGAAGTACTATACCATACTTGTATGTTTTTGTCATAATAAATAAAAGGAGTCGTGAGGGAGGAGGGGGGGGTCCAAACCTATGTGTAAAAAAAGTGTTCAAGATGTTTTCAGTCTATATAAACAGATGAGTACATTATATCATTTGGAAAACATTGTATTTTGGTAAAGTAAATCCTTTTATAAACATTGAATAATATACCATTGAGTAGCTTAACATTAAAGTTTATTGATGAGACGGGAATAGATCAAGGCAAATTTATCTGACCGGTTAAAATCACTCACTCTTCCTATTGAATTGAATTTCATAATTGATAAAATAATGATAATTATGATACATGTAACATTCACTAGTTTTTACCTGCTTCCAGTTCAAGAGATATGTGAATAAACTGCGTGGTAAGAGTACAGTGTATAAGAAGAAGAGACAGGAGCTGGCAGAGATACGAGCAGAGCATGGAGTGTTGTCCAGGACGGAGGAGATACTGAAAACCCGAGATAATGCTATTATACAACAACTGGTGGGTATAGCACTCTTAGCCCAGTGCTTTTATTAATTTGTTTATTTATTTCATTTTGTCAATTTATTTATTTGTTGATTTATTTCATGGAAGTTCGTCATTATGGTTTCTCATAAAAGGTGATTTTTGGTGTAAACCCAGTTTGCTTTTGAGAACTTTTGTACCATCTTTTTCAAGACGGTTTTTCTCACAAAAAACAATTTTCCATTCAACTTGGTGCAGTGGTTATGATAAGTATCAGTATGCTGTTCATAGTCTTCTCAATGGGCCTTGTTGGAGTATAGAAATTGTCAACTGTGGATCGATCTATATCCAAGGGGTTTCTCGCTAAATTGCAATCAACTTAAGGGCTTTATATGTCTGTCTTGCCAACTGAAGCTGTGAGGGGGTAATTAATTATTGTTTAGCAGCTTCAGTAGACATGCCATCTAAGCCGCTTCAGCTGAAAGCAATTTAGCGAGAAACCCCTTAGAGATGGATCGATTGTCTTAGATCGATTTAGGTATGGGGACCCAGTCTTAATAATTTTTATCATTACATGCAGTCTGCCGTGGAGGCCAAAAAAGGTGTCTCTGGCTACAGGGACACTCAAGAGGAGCTGGAGAAAGTTTCCAGCGTCAAGAGCGAGATGGATGATGTGAAGGGAAGGACACTAGAAGACATTTCCGAGATGGTCACCAAATTAGTCACCAAAATATCGGAGAAGAAGAGCGCATTAGCACCTGTCATTAAAGAATTGAGACCTCTGCGACAGCAGTGTCAAGTAAGTTTTGATTGTTTTGCAGATTTCCTTATTTTCTAAGTCTGAGTCTCTCTTTTTTTTTGTCTCTTTTACTTTAAAAAGCTAGAAGGTGTTTGAAATCATTGAGACCAATCACATGAGTATGTCACTGATTCATTTGTAGAAGTAAGCATATTATCTTTGAAGACCATCAATTTTTTTTTCTTGAAAAGACTGAAATAAAGGACAGGGATTCAAAATATTAATATTTTCTTTATGTAATAATCTAAAGTTCTTCTCAAAGATTAAAGAAGAATCGTTTATAACATCTTATTTTTGGACAATGTGTATTGAAATAATTTCAGGAAATTACACAAGAACATGAAGAGAAAAAGCATATTTATGATACCACTGCAGCTGGCCTGGAGAGCAATAGATCTAAATTAGAGCAGGAAGTGAGAGGGTATAGGTAAGGAAAGGGTAATATATGCTCCTCGTTCACCAGCTATTGAACATATTTATTAATAGCTAAATGAAGAAAATAGAAAAATTGTACATCTAGGTGTCCCCCCCCCCCCCCACACACACACACTCACACACACTCACACACAAACAGACACAAAAATAAAAAAGCATTAATAAATAATTTTATTGCCTCAAAAACAAGCTGTTTACTTACTATGTGGTCGGTGACTCCCCTCCTATTTTTGTTTGTTTTAGAGAGGAAGTTACAGCTGAAGAGTCTCGGTATCATTATCTCCACTGTATGAAGCAGATACTGGAGAACCAACATCAGAAGATTGCAGACGAAATGAAGTCATATACATCGTCAGATCCCCAAGAGAGAAAGAAAGCTTTCAGGTGAGTTTTTTTTACCAGAAGGACGAAAAAAAGTTGAAATTAGTCAAATCCAACCTACCAGTAGTTGAAACAACCCTTCAGCATTTTACAGCTACCTGTAATTTATGTGCACCTTATCATATGTGTGTGAGTGATAATTTGAAAATGCCAGTAGTGTTTATTTTTGTGAAGATAGTATGATGTATTGTAGTTCTGAAAATATCTTTGGCCATTGGTCTGATGAACTTGTACCAATGACTGTATTTCTAAAGCAACCATTTGATTAATGAAAATGATTATTGCGAACTGATTATCAGACAGGTGCCTGACACAAATGGCATTCAAATTCACCTTTTGCTCATGTTCTAGGGAAATTTACACCAAGAAAATCCAGGAACAAGAAAATTTGGGGAAGGGCCTTCGCGAGAAACAGAAGTACGTGCGTGAGAGCCATGGACCAAACATGCGACAGATGAAGATGTGGAAGGACGTGCGCCGTCTGCTGGAAATGAAGCACAGTTGTTGGGACCAGGTCAAGGTCAATGAGGGCATGAGTGGGAACGTGAGCACTTATGGCCAAGATGGCGGCGGAGCGCCACAGGATACTAACGTGTTCACGCTGTAGTGGTTGTTTTGTTTATCACGTAATCATATAGACAAATGACTTGGATTATACTTTGGTGTGACAGGATTTGAACAGATCAAGTTCTACTCCCCAGTAATTTATTTTTCTTTATTTACTTACTTATTGTGATTCTACTCTAAGTTTGCATATTTCATTTTGAGGCATTTAACTGGAAATATCAAATATCACTACAAACTGGCCAACATTGATCACAATTTACAGTAGAATACCTACAGTTTTCTTGTCAGGATTTATTAGATATTTTTCAAATTGTAGTGGAAGGACCTTTTTTAAGTCAGCCCCTTCTGGAGGGGTCATTGGAACATTCCAGTTTTCTTCTGTTGAAAACAAAACACTTAGCATGTTACAGATTTCTGATAACTGCCATTGGTGGTTTAACTAGGATGAACATTTTGTAATATCACGAGGGCTTTCGCCTCATGGTTATTGTAAGGAATCGTCACTCAAGTGATTAACTTTCTTTTGGTTAGCCAGTTAAATTGCACAGCCAATTATTTTGGTTTGGTTTTTTTTTTTTCCATTTCATTACATTCTTTATGTAACTATGTTGTCAGTCTGTGATAAGGTTTATGTTACATGCATTTTAGTCTGGGGTTTGTTTAAGTGTAACAGTAATTTCCGTCCAGTAATTGCAATTGAATATTGAAAATAATACTTATATCAGTTTTTCTTGAACTGTGGTTGGTATTTCTTTTCATGAAAGAAAATCTGCAGGTTATCAGATCTTCCAAGTAAAAAAAAAAAAAAAAAAAAAAAAGAGGGAGAGAGAATACATGAGCCCCATACCAGCACATTCTATTTTTCTAGATAGGTACCATCATAAAATGTTAATAAATTTTTCATTTTTATTAGTAAAAAATTAAAAGACTATGAAAACGTCTGTTTAAACAAAATTGTATGCTGCTTTTGCAGTGAAACGGGAGGCGAGTTCCTATGGCTTTGGGAATGCATACAGAAAACAGAAAAAAATACTCAAAAATGAGCCCATGATTTTTTCTTGCATGATTCTTAAGAAAATATTGAAAAATAACACGAAATGCATGCATTTTCATTAATTTATTTGGTAACTAACAGCATACAAAAACACAGTACTGAGATTGTTATCGTACACCAACTAGACATGCCTGAAACTTAAATGTCAACTTTTGGCCAAATAATGCTTCAGAAATGTTTTGCTTTTGTACAATTAACGATACTTGAACTATATCTATACCAAGCTGATGAATAATTCTGCCCAAAAACAATCTTTTAAAAACCCTTCATAAATATGATAAAATGATGGATATGCTAAGATAGTGAGATTTCCATGCAGACATGAGCCTAGATTAAAAAAAAAAATCAACATTTATCATGGGACCAAACACCTAACCGGCTGGAAATCTCAGGAACCATCAGAATCGAATTAAAAAATGCAGAATTTTGTATGTCTGCAGAACAAGCTCATGTCTGGGTTTGGGAGGTACATGTAAATAGTAACTCAACTCTGATGTCATCAGCTTGTTTAAAAGAAAACTGCAGAAGTGACATATTTATAAATTAACTTACAGCAATCTGGCATTATTCTATTTCAACACCCTTTTTTACTTAAGATAGAATGACTGTGTCCATGATAACAAGTTAAAATCTTCACTAATGACTACAAACTATTTATCCTTATTAAACTGGTTTAAACTTGAATGATACTTAACCCATAATAACCCGAGCTTCTAAATTTTGTCTGTGAAAGGTAGAAAGGCTTAACCCACGTGTTTTGCCCCTGAAGCAGAAATACCCCCACCCCTGTGACAATGAGCAGACCCCTCCATCCTCTGTGAAAACAGAGTGACCTGTGAGCAGAAATACCCCCCACCCCCACAACACTGTTGTGAACCTTGCTTACACACTATAGTAAAATAGCACCTGTATAAAATTATATAATATCTGTTTGAAAAAGCTTACTCTACTGTTCATGCAAAAAACTTTAATGTTATATTCTTCATCAGAAATATATGTCTCTCTACAAATAATATTTGCAATGAAGGGTATATAAAACTACACCTTTCCCTAATCAGTATTTTACTAGAGGGATACAAATTTGACACAAAGCTCTCATTATAAACAAACCTTTGACCTATTTAAATATTAAATATTATTCTAATAAATAATAATAGAAGTGAGAGTTAAACATGCTAGGAAGATGGTCTTATACATATTTTAAGAACAAGGTGCCTGAAAAACTGAGATTCAAAGAAACTGGTTTATGATATATTAAGTGAAACTGGTGTCACACTTTGTTGTGATAAATGTTTTTGCAAACTCAGATAATTTCAGCACAACTTTTACCTGCAGCTTAAAGACATACCCATGCCTTAGAAAAAAAAATAATAGTAACTTATAATATAATATATCTTAATTCTTGAAAAGAAATTGCAACAATTTCCATTTAAGCCGAAGTATGTCTTATCCATAACTGTTAAATGACATTTTTTAAAAGTTTTAGTGCTGCATCCCAATGCACCAGTTTTTAAGTACTACATAAAGGAGTAGCTCAAGAATGAGAAACCTGGCTATCAAAAATGTTTTATAGATCATAATTTTCATTTTTTTTTTTTTTTTTTTTTTTTT